CTTTGGAGGGGCTACATGAGGCAGACGAGACCTCCTGCAAGAGAGGGCTGAGGGCACGTTTGGTCTTTAGGTAGGGTTTAACATTCGCCACGAGGATGGTGTGGTCCCGACGCTCCTTCCCAAATGTGCAGAAAGTTTTTTTGCCATTGGGGTTGCAAACCGTCTCGTAAGTTTCGGTCTCCACTGCAACCGCCTCCATGCCTGCCGGTACGAAGAGGTTGGTGCGGTAGTCCGAGCCCTCGGCTTGGGGAGTTCCTGCTCCTCCGGCCCCTGTGGTAAACTGGGGCATCCAACAACGGTCAGAGTGACCCAGCACTCGACACTCCTCCGTGCAGTTGACACAATCCTCCTCTGGAGAGAGAAAGAGAGAAAAAAAATATAAATTTGGCAGGAAATTAAATGAATGAATAACCATATGAAAATTCTGACTAATTTTAAATAATAAAGTTAAGTAAAAAGTAATTTAATCTCAAATAAACTTAAAGATTATTAGTCACAAATGAATACATCTGTCATCAGTGCAAAAACAGCTTGTCATAACATAACACTTCAGTCAGTGTTTCCTGCACCATTTTTAAGCAAAGCTGAATCGCTAGAACCATGTCAAAAGAAATTACATTTTACCGCAGTTGTGAATGTAAGTTTGCAGTTAATTTAATTTTGTGAGATAAAATGACAGTGTACCGCACAATGAACATTCATACAGAACAACCGGTGTAATCTGATTCATGAACAAATGACTCATATGAGCTGGAGCTTTTACTGAATCATTCAAAAAGACTCTTCCACCGAATTCTGCAGAAAGGTTATCATGGTTTCCACAAGGGTATTAAGCATATTAAAAATATTAATATTTCTGAAGGATCTTGTGACACTGAAGACTGGACTAATGATGCTGAAAATTCAGCTTTGCATCACATATTATTTTTTACAGAAAACAGTTATAAATTCAAATCACATTACACAAATCACATAAATAAATCACATTACTTTTTTTGTTTTGTTTTTATTAAATAAATGCAGCCTTGGTGAGCATACGGGACCTCTTTTAAAAGATCTTAACAACCCAAAACTTCTGAATAGTGATAAATATATACACACACCACAACCAAGCTAAACAAAGTCAATAATTATTCAAAAGACGACTTCAGACTTTCAAAGAGAAGAATGGGAACTATCTGCTTAAATATAGTTTTCCATGAATGTTTTTCCCTGTTCTCCCCCCATCATGCTCATGCATTCTACAGTACATCCTCCGTCTCTCCTCACCTCGCCTCTCAGTAGAACAACAACAGCTCAGTTTTGGCAAAAAGTGTGGCGCTGCTATCATAAATTTATGTTACTGGGCTTTGAAGCTGTCCCAAGGCAGCCCTTCCATATCACAAAGCCAAGTGTCTAGTTCGGCACTGCATGTGTATGTATGTGTGTGTGCATCTTCCCTCCTTTCATCTCAGCTCAGAAGAAACCACATTTTGGATTATTGGGGGCTGTTCTGATGGTGTGTCAAATGGGTCCAGTATTGTGAAATGGATTAAAATAATGTATTTTAAAATGGGAAATGAAAGAAGGGGGGGGGGATAAGGGAACAAAAGGGAAAAATGAAAGTTAAAAAAAGTGAAAAGGAAAGCGCAGCTGTTGTCCTGTGAATATAAATGCTCAAAGAGCTCAGGTAAAGCTGAGACCCGGGTCGTGAACACATGCAGACCTCACACACGGGACCCGTGTCATTAGTTCAACGTGCTTTTGACAAGAGAACTGCAGTGATTTGAGCAGAACAAACAAAAGTCTTCCATCCATATTTAATAGTTTAATGACATCTGTCTTTTGGGAGACAAAACACATGGAAACACAAAAAACCTCATGAATTTATGAGAAGAAACGTTTTCAATAGTCTAGCAGTCATCACTCACCCATTTAAGACCTCAAAAAGTGTCTCGGAATAACAGGTGATAGCGGAAAATGACTATAGCGTAAATGCTGGAAGAATCTTCATTTGTGGTATTGATTTCCCCAACTGTAATTCCCAACCATATTAATCTATCCTTCACCTTAAACAGTGCATGAACAGATTAGAAACTTTTCTTATGAAAATGTCATTTTGTCAAATGTCAGTTTGAGAGCACTGTGATTTAGAAACTGATCCAGACAGATGTACTCATTTTCCTTGGATGGCATTTACAATGCATATTGAAATACAATCAGGATATTCAGCTTGAAGAAACAACCGTTCCTTTTCCTTTTTCAGTGAAAGTGCATCAATTCTCTGTGCTAAAGTGTTCATAGCTAAATTGATATCTGTGTTTACTTTCGCAGAAGTGTAGCCGATTGGTTTGCTTTCTTCACGTGATGTGCAAGGCACGGCGTGTATAAATGATGACCTTATTATCATCATTAATCATATTTTAAATTGCTCTTTCAGATGTTTCTCTGCTAAAGGCCAAGCCATGTCATGAAAAATGATCCTCTGCAACTCGGCTCCCGAATCCCTATTGTTCCAGATTTCGCTGTGTGTGTCTGGCCAACAAAAGCCTATCCCTGGGGTTCCCTTCAGTTTGTTTCTGGTCTGTGGGGTTTTTGCTAACCTTGAAAAAGTTTTCAAACTCCCCTACCCATTCTCAATGGTAACGGTACACTGCACCTGCCTCTCCTGAGGTCAAAATATATATTTTCAACACACGGACATCTGCAGTGCATCTGTGGACCGAGCAGAGGGAAAGCCATGCAAGAAAGTTCTGTATCGGGCCTAAGACCAAACCTAGGGGGGCACCTAGGGTTTTGTGCCATGTATGAAGCCTGTTTGCCTATTTGGAGGGTCCGCAGGCTGGTATGTCCTTATGGACACGTTCTACAAGAGTGTAAGGACAGGGGTAAGTACCATATAAGAGGGGAGAGAGAGAGCTTGACATTTAGCATGTGGTGCTCTTGTGTTGCACGAGAGAAAGACAAGGGCTAGTCTTGAGTGGCACAAACTAGCATGCGTGACAAGGTGAGGAAGAACATGCTGTCCACTTTAAATAATGCGATCTCCCACACACACAGACACAAACACACACACTGTCCTCTTCAGATCCACATAGGCTTTGAACCTGAGGTGCTTTGCTAGAATTTGCAGCTGTTTATCTTCTCTAAACATAAATTAGCATGGGTATGCATGCTAAACAGCGTCCGTGTGCATGCGGGAATATCTTTGTATTTCACACTTTCATATCACCTTTAGATGCAAGACTAGCAAAATACACATTTACACTACTGTTCAAAAGGTCAGGGTCAGTAAGATTTTTTTTCTTTTTTAGAGATTAATACTTTTAAATATGAAATGTTTCTTGAGCATATTAAAATAATTTTTGATTGTGTCATATGACACTGAAGACTGAGGTAATGGCAGCTAAAAATGCAGCTTTGCCATCACAGAAAAAAAAATAGTTTAAAATATATTAAAATAGAATAGTTATTTTAAATGTAATAATATTTCATAATATTACAGTTTTACTGTAATTTTGATGAATAAATGCAGCATAAGAGATTGAAAAAAAGAAGAAAAAAACTCTTACCAACCCCAAACCTTCAAGCGAAAAAAGAAAACAACAGAAATGCATTGCTACGCTAAGAAAGCAAATCATGTTCAGAACTGACTGCTCGTTCAATGGAAGCACAATAAAGCATAAATAATCCACACTGACACATCTCCATGCAGTCAGTGAGGAGGAACCAATCCTTCAATAGATTATTCATACCTGGGTGGAACAGGTGACCTTGAGACTTGGCAGGGTCGCCATGACTAACAATAAGACATGTGACACTGGCTGAGGCCACTAATTCGTCGCCAGATCCAAAGCAGGAGGCAAGGTGTGAATTATTGTCACCCCCAAACCCCCTCACGTACAGTCGGCACACAAGGTTACAAGCTGTTTTGGGGACACTTCATTAAAATTGTATTTTCTGACATCCCTGTGTTTTCTTGACAGTCCACACACAGATCTATATATTGAATGGCTCATCGTGAGCTATGGGTTGCTCATCGGCCGCTCTGCAGGAATGTCAAATCAACTGCCCAATTATAATCACAAGAAGCACACGCTCAACTCTGTGCACCATTTACTGGTATTCGCAGACTTCAGTTTCAGAGTGCGAGGCTTCTGCTAACACAGCACTTGTCCCACTCATCAAGCTAATGATGTGTGTACGACAAATCTCATTTTACTTTGCACACAAAGTCCCAAAGGCAGAGCAGCAACTCGAGACAACGCCATATTTATATGACAGTCCTAACAGAAGGTCACATCATAACATATTCACTACTTTGTGATTTGTTCTCTGCTGCATTTGGAAAAATACAAGTTGAGATGTCTTATATTGTGAATGTTGCCACATCTGAAAGGGTTGTAGGTACTGCATAGCTTGTTTAACAATGGACTTAAGGTCTGACTGTATGTATAATATTATCTCAACCTCTCACAACCTAATTATGTTGTAATTATAATTTTAAAACGAATGTCATGCTGTTAGCAACAGAGATTGAGGTGACTTTGTAAAATAGCAAAACATACAAATTCTTATGAGATTATGGAAAATATTGCAAAAATATAGTTTTAAAATCTACTGTTTAAGATATTTCATTTTATTACATATTTTTTGTAATATACTATAAGAATTACATTTGTATTTTAAAATATATATTACTGAAAATATATAAATGATATACATATATAACTGATATATATCATGATAATATAGTTTGTTATATATTTTAATAAAAACCCACATCTCACACACACACACACACACACACACACACACACACACACACACACACACACTATGATGATGTGTGTATAATTGCTGACTTGTTGCTTGTCTTATTTGGATCAAGTCATACATGTACAACTGATTAAACATACACAATCTTGCCATCAAAACTTTGCGACTGACCATATTAATTGGACGTAGGATCACGGAGTTAAACACTGAGTGCTGTCTCGGCAGTCTAATAAGCCAACAGCAAGAGCTGACATAATGAACATTGTCCTCATCCTCACCCTCATTTTATTTTTACCCAGAGAAACTTCCCTCTGAGCCTGGTGGGTGAGAGAAAGAGTGAAAAAGACAGGAAGGAGAATCCAGGCCACTTAAGAGTTTGAAGCCATTTAACAAACACCTCGCACTCTCAGTTAAGGAGGAAGCTTTCAAATGCCAGGGTTTCTTTCTTTCCTCACTCTATCGCTCTGAATAATTCGGGTGGCTGGGTGCTTTATTTAATTCTCCAGCTGGGATGCAGAATGAGGGAGACAGAAAGAGAGACAGATAGTATATTCTGACTCAGTGCATTAAGGCCTCCTGCTAAATCTTTTATT